GCTGGAACTCAGTGGGAAGTGTGCAGCCATTCAGTGGTTTAAGGTAAACAGGATGCTGAGAATCAGTCAATGCTTCAGCAGTGTGAATCCAGAAGACAAGGGAAAGCTGATACAGATATTTGGACCTCTGGTGTGATGCTCTCTGAATGCAGGTTGCCAGTTTGTCTCTCTGATGAGGCTGCAGCACCTGCAGAGTGTTGCAAGTCTTAGAATTGGAGACCTGCTGTTGAGGCTGGGCGGCAGGTCACATAATTCTGGATGCAGAGTCAGGCTCCCGCAGGTTGGGAGGAGCAAAGGGGACCATCCAACTGGGGCTACCAGAGGTCTGGGGGACCTCTGCATGTCAAGCCGCACCCCAGGTGTGCCCGCTGTGTCAACAGCAACACTCAGAGAGCAGGAGACAGCAGCACAAGGAAAGAAGCAAAGGTGGGTCTCTCCATGGGGGAGGTGGGACACTTACCCTGTTGCAAAGATCACCTGGGTGGCAGTAGGAGATCTGCTTCGCAATGCAAAACCCCTGTGGACAGAGAAGTGCGACTGGCAGTACTGGGGTGCGGAGCATCCTCTTTTCAAGGTCTTGCTTGTGGGGCCTGGAGAAGGAAGGAGAAACACCAGCTTGGCTGCTGAGGCTGTGAATTGCCTGGAGGCTCATGGCATGTGAGCATAGCCAGCACACAAGCAAAAAGGGGTCTGCTGGACACAAGGAGAGAGCCAACGCTCTCCTTGTCAGTCATTCTGCCTTTCTGCACACACCACCGCAATGAACGCCGGATCACGGCAGCTAGTCACACGCAGGCTGACACAGGGTAGGCATGGTCGGGCTCTTGCTGAGGTGCCAGCTGCCGCAGGGGCCCACTGAGAACCGTCTGGTGTTGCTGCAACTCCTTTTCAGTGCTGCAGCCCACTTGCCTATCTGCCTCTCTCTGCTCATTGGTGGTGACTGCCAGGGCAAGCAGGAGATGGTGGACAAGATGGGGAAGAGCCGTGGGTGCTGCTGCGGAGAAGGGAGGTCCCCTTATGAGGAGACCCTGTTGAGGGGTTTTCAAGGCCCCGAGAAACCTGGAGTCACATGGCCCACTCCTGACTTCAGCATACCGCATGCCTCTGGGGAACATAGGATAAACTGCGTGGATGAGAGGGCCATTCAGGTGTCAAGACTTCCAGAAGCTGTGTGCATTTTCAGGTGATGCTGAAAGAGGCTTCTACCTCTGGGAAGCGAGTTTCCAACTTTCCAGATTAATTTTGTGTGTGTGTGTGTGTGCGCGCGCGCGCGCATGCATGTGATGTAGCTCCTATTAGGTTGTACTCAAATTGGTGGACCACAAGTTGTGTAAGTCTAATTTGGAGTCAAACCAAGAAGTGTCTTATCTCAAATCCATTCCTTGTGACCTACGTTAGTTAGCTTTTCCTCCAGGCAAAAGAGCCCTTAACTGCCCATTTAAGGCGTTAAGCATTTTATGTTTTATGGGTTGCTCTGAAGGTTTATGTGATGTTTGTCTAAAGCGTGTGTGTGGCCCACCTCACAGAAGCACCTGTGTGTAGGTTACCATAAGGGAAAACAACAGAGGGCAACCCAGGGAAGGTAGATAAATAGAGAATTCTAGAAGTTAGGAACAAGGGCAGCTGTGGCATCCAGGTGTGATCACCTGTCCAGTTTGGTTGGAATGTGTTTAGAATGGGCAGAAATGATGAGCTGCGCAGAAAAAGCTACTCAAGGAAGGCTTTTTCAAAATCGCATTATTATCAATGGAACTATACCCCTATATTAGGGTTAGGGGTGTGCAGCAGGGTAGGGTTAGGGTTAGAAAAAGGAGGTGCCCTGGCATGGTTTGGATGGTTGGAATGTGTTTAGAATGGGCAGAAATGATGAGATGCGCAGAGAAAGCTACTCAGGGAAGGCCTTTTAAAAATCGCATTATTATCAATGGAACTATACCCCTAAAATAGGGGTATAGTTCCATTGATAATAATGCGATTTTT